TTGTGTTTTCTAGGATCTGGTGACAAAGAAGGTGATTAGAACTGGCTATGAGGCGAATGGGATCTACTTGCTTGAGCATCCACTTAGAAGAAATAAAGGAGTTGAAAAGTCTTTTCTCTCTCAGTCTGTGAGTCAGATTATGCTTTGGCATAATTAGTTAGGTCATTTGTCTTGTGGGTCTTTAAGAAGTCTTTTTCCTACTTTGTTTGAATCAGTCCAAGTGTGCAGTCTAAAGCGTGAAAGTTGTGAGTAGGCAAAACATTGTAGATCAATCTATACTTTGAGTAATACAAGAAGCCTTGATCCTTTTGAAATTGTGCATACTGATTGTTTGGGGACCATATCATATCACTGCTATAGGGGGATACAAGTATTTCTTGTTATTTGATGATGATTATTCTTGTTTCTCTTGGGTTTATCTTATGTGTTCCCATGATGAGGTCCCTATTTTGACCTGTGCTTTCCATCAAATGGTTCTCACTCAATTTGGGGTTAGAATCAAATCTTTTAGATCTGATAATGCCAATGAGTACTTCACCAAATCATTGAACTCGTACTTCCTTCAATATGGGGTTATTCACCAGAGCACCTATCTTCATACCCCACATCAAAATGGAATAGTTGAGAGAAAGAACAGGCACATCCTTGAGGTTGCAAGAAGCATTATGCTAAATTTAAATGTCCTTATACGTTTTTGGGGGGATGCAATTCATATGGTTGTGTATCTCATTAACCGAGTTCCTTTACCATATTATATCCTAAGAAAGACTTGTTTACCATCCCTCTTAAAGTCTTTGGGTGCACATGTTTTGTTCAAATCTTGGGGCTTAATCGTTTTAAATTTGATCATAAAGCTTCCAAATGCATTTTTCTTAGTTATGCATAAAATCAAAAGAGATATTGTTGTTATGACCGAATTTCTAGCTCTCGGTTTGTGTCTATGGATGTTACCTTTTTTGAGGATGTTCCTTATTATCTAGGAGTTTCATCTCAGGGGGAGAGAGATGAAAGAGGTGTATTTATTCCTGAAGTTCCCCTTCCTATCCCTGTTCTTGAAAAGGAAATGTATCAAGAGGATCATTCTCAAAAATGTAAGGAGTTGAAGGTTTTCCATAGGAAGTGGAGGCGAGTTGATTTTGGTGCTCTTGGTCAACCCAAGCCAGTTCCCATTTCCTCTGCAACACCTGATCCAGATGCTACATCTTCACCTTCCACTCCTAAGACTACCATCATGGATCCATTGCCTTCTATTGATGATCTTGACCTTCCAAATGCAGTCTGTAAAGGGAAATGGAGATGTACCACATCCACTATGCACTACACATCTCAGTTTTTCTCATATGAGCACCTTTCACCATCCTATAAATCCAATTTGGCATCCATTTATACTATATCCATTCCTAAAACTGTGCAGGAACCTCTCTCGATGCCTAAGTGGAAGGATGCTATGAAGGAGGAAATGAATGCACTCGTTAAAAGTGAGACATGGGAGTTGGTGAATCAACCTGAAGGAATGAAACCAGTTAGGTGCAGATGGGTGTTCACTGTGAAGCATAACGCAGATGAATCAGTTGAAAGATAATAAAGCTCATCTTGTTGCAAAGGGTTATACACAGACCTATGGATTTGATTACTCTGAGATTTTTGCACCAATTGCTAAGATGAATACTATTCGTGTTCTGTTATCTCTGAATGCAAATTTTTATGGCTCATGTTTCAAATGGATGTTGACGTAGGTGCATGTTGCAAGGCCTAAGATGGTGCCACATGGCACCAGCCGGATGCAATCCTAGCCGTCCGTTGCTAACCAACTCCATGCGAGCTCAAGTATAAATTAGTGTGTCACTTCCCAGGTAACCTATCTTGGCTTCTACTACTCTCAAGCTCTCTAGCACTCAGGTGACCTCGTCTGAGCCCTCTCTACTCAAGCCTCGTCCGACCCCTTGCTACACACTTGACTAACTTGACCGTCGCAGTCTCTACCCCTAGGATAACAGCCGAGGCCTCTGACATGCTCTCTTGTTCACAGGTCGGAGACTGAAGCCCTCGAATACATCAGCCCTTGGACATACTAGCCCTTGGCTAAGGAAGTGAAGTTACCTTGTTGCCCTTAACCCATCCATGGCAGCAACAGATGTCAAGAATGCTTTCCTCAATGGTGATTTGCAGGAAGAAGTGTATATGGAGTTACCTCCTACTTTTTATGATATAGATGCAAGCAAGAAAGTTTGCTGACTCAAGAAGGCATTGTATGGTTTAAAGCAATCTCCAAGAGCTTGGTTTGACAAGTTTAGACTTGCTCTGGAGAAATTTGGGTATATGTAGGCTCACTCAGACTACACACTTTTCTTCAAGAGAGGTGATTCCTCCTTGACAATTCTTGTTGTATATGTGGATATTGTGATAACAGGCAATGATGTTGATGAGATTAATTCCCTCAAACAATTACTTCACAAAGAGTTTGAAGTGAAATATTTGGGTCATCTCAAATATTTTTTGGGAATTGAGGTGGCTAGATCTAAGCATGGTATTTTCATTTCTTAGAGGAAATATGTCCTTGACCTTTTGGAGGAAACAAGAAAATTAGAGGTTAAACCTGTAGATACTCCCATTGAATTGAATCAAAAGATAAGTGCAGAAGAAGGTGAACCTCTTGATGACAAGACCATGTATGAACAGCTGGTAGGGACTCGGCCTGACATTTCTTATGTTGTCGGTAACCACTCATTTGTTAGCTATTGAGAGGATCCTAGCATATCTCAAGAGGTGCCCAGGTCATGGAATACTCTTCAAGAATAATGGTCATATGAAGATTGAGGTGTATACTAATGTGGATTGGGTTGGATGTGCAGATGACAGGAGGTCTACCTCTGGGTACTATGCCTTTGTTGGAGGAAATCTGGTTTCATGGCGAAGTAAGAAACAAAATGTAGTGGCTCATTCAAGTGCTGAAGTCGAATACAGATCTATGGCTCATGGAGTGGCAGAAATTCTGTGGCTGAGATCTTTACTTGAAGAATTTGGAATTAAGCATGAGAAGTCCTTAATGCTATATTGTGACAATCAATCTGCTATGAATATTGCCCATAACCCAAAACAGCATGACAGGAGGAAACACATTGAGGTGGATCAACATTTTATTAGGGAGAGAATAGCCTCCCAAGAAGTGTGTTTGCCATATATCGCCTTTAATATGCAGCTTAGTGATCTCTTCACCAAGGCAGTCACTAAAGTCAGGATGGAGACAAATTTATGGAAGTTGGGAATGTTCAATATCTATTCCCAACTTAAGGGGGAGTGTAGAGATGTAGACAAAGATACTTAGTTCTTTTTTATATGCGTTTTATACGCAAAAATATACTTCCCATCTTTATTTGTAATTGTTCAGGCTACAGTTCTTGTTTTTCTCTTTGTCACTGTTGATAGAGGTACTTTTGTCATTGTATCATCTTTTTATTAAGTTAATATAAAAGCCAATGAGGGGGGTGGTAGAACCAATTCATTCTGTTCTTTTTCTTTTCTTTTCTTGAACAGGTTTCGAACTCAACCTAGGACTGATACAGGTATATTTAAAGTCCCTTTAAGAAAATCTGGTGCAATCACATCCCTTCTAGAGTGTATGTCTAAAGAGAATAAACACCTGTGATCTCCTTTAGAAGAAAAGTTTGGGAAGACTTTACATTTCTCCTCATGCTTGTTGTTTGTGCTTGCAAAATGGAGAAACAGCTGACCACCTACTTATCCATTGTAATTTCACTCAAAAGGTCTAGCTGCATTTCTTAAACCTGATAGGTTACCATTGGGTTAACCCAGAGCATATTCAAGACTTTGTTCATCAGAGGCAAGGTTGTGGCCTAAGAAAAAGAGGCAAAGCCTACTGGCAAACGGTGTTACATACAGTTATGTGGGGAGTTTGGGAGGAAAGAAACAAGCAATTATTTGGAAACAAGGTCAGAACTCTAAAAGAGTTAATTTCAGACATTACCTATCTCTATAACTTTTGGGCTGCTAATCCGGAGCTGCCAAAGTCTCTCAATCAATGACCTTAACAGAAACTTACAAACCATTCTTTTCTTCCCTCACTCTACTCAGACTTCGTTAAGACATTCAACTTTATTCAGTAAAGGAGGGATGATTTTACATTTTGATGGGAGTGCTGTAGGCAATCCAGGGTTTACTAGAATTGGGGGTATCGTAAGGGATGAAAGAGGTAACACTTGCTGGGTTTTCAGTGGACCAATCGGTTTTACTGACTCAACCAAGGCTGAAGTGTTGGCTGCTCTCACTGGAATCAGAATAGCTAAAAGCTTGGGTATTCAAAACCTTTCCATTGCAGGGGACTCAAAAAATACCATCAAATGGTTAAGGAGCAAGGAAGGGGTCCATGGAGGTTAAGCCATTATTTGGCAGAAGCAAGGGATTCCTTAGACAGCTTAAATGCAACCTGTTTTGGATCCCTAGGGAACTTAATCCTATTGCAATAGCTTAGCTAAATTGGATGCTTGCTTAGAAAATCTGTATAATGATAGGATTCCTCCTTTATATTCTTTGGGGTTTTCCCCTGCTTTGTACATCCTCTCATGTACTCCCTTTTATTTTAATGAAATCTGGTTAAACGTTTCTCAAAAGAAAAAGAAAAGAAAAAACAGGGGTGGGACAAGATCAAATGTTCTAGGCTGATTTGTAATTTTTTGTTTTATGGGGAGGAGAGTTAAGAGAATTTATCTCTCCTCTGCTCTATTTGTACTTTGCTTTAATTTTTAATAAAATGTTGTAGTTATTCTTGATAAACAAATTGTCCCTTGTGAAATTCTTCATGAACTAATTTCTCGTTCAAGGAAACTCATTACATCATCTTGTGGTTTGGATTTGCAATATTCTTTCATTATCCCAATGAAGCTAACAACTAAACAAAAACATATTGATGAAACACTTTAATTCAATAACAAAGACTAATGGGTGAAAAGGGATTGAAATAAAACCAAAATGAGAAAACATACCAGTAAACTTCACATCACAAGAGAAACCTTCCAATTCAGTTCTATCCACCACTGCTTTATCCGATTTAAACCGGTTGACCCTGGTTTGAAGAATTTGGCAGTTCTCTGCTATAGATTCCCCACCTACAACATAATTCAATTTTGAGAAAAAATCCATAATCCAAAACTATAATAAAAAAATGTCGCTGAATAATAAGAAAATAAATCAAAATTCTAAAAGTAACAACTAGAGCCGAAACCAATATGAAATAACAAAAAGAAAAGAAAGAGAAAGTTGCTGAATAAGAAACCATACCCAGGAAAGAAATTAATCAAGTAAAGATCGAAATTGACACATCAGACCAGCGTTTGAAAAGAAAAACTATCAGCCTAGAAGTTACAATTCAAGTCAATATAAAATGTACGAAGAAACCACAATTATCGACAAAGATTAACAGCCTAATAATACCAGACCTAGAATAAGAACAATTAATTAAATATCAAAATAAAACGAACAAAAAAAACAAAAGTTTAAAGTTCGACAGAAAAATCAAATACCCAGAAAAAGATAGTGGCCAATGCAAATGGAACCGCCACAAATAAAATGAATGGGATTACAGAGTACCTTTCGAATATGGTACAATGTGATCGTACTCGAAACAAAGACATCCCTGGCAATTGCAAAACCTCTTGCAGACGATGTTACCAGCGGCATCATATCGCCACCGTTCAGGGTGGCGGCCGGGGACAACAGAAGCTTTGGCCCAGCACAAGGCCTTCGTCTTGGCGTCGAAGAACCTCGGCCTCTCTTCTTTGTTGTCACTGACACTACTATTTGAATGCCTAGGTGAACTCATCCTCGCAAATAGAAAATGGGGAAATCCTAAAAAATATAATACAAAAATATATCGCCTCCGCTGTGGTTTCTCAAGCTTCAATCTCTCCACCCAACGCTCACCGGCGAAAGCGAGTTGGCGAGGTCTCTGTGAGTCGCCGGTGAGTCTTCTCTTACTCCGTACAGCGACACAACCGTAGTCCCAAACTCCTAATTACAGATTCCATTTCAACGTGTTTAGATACACCAGAAATCCTAAGCATGAGACAAGCTGGTAATCATCATGTCGTTGTTTTTAACCAACTTTAATGATTGCTTGAAAAGAAAGGCATAAGCCTCAAGTAAAACTGATTATTTGATTTAATGAAAAAAATTATTCATTTTTTTAGTTTAAAGTATATGAAAAAAACACTTCAATAATTATTATGAACCAAATAAATAAAAAGTAAAAATGAAAACCAATTAGAAATATCAAGTTCTCTTAGTGTTTTAAGAGAGTTTTGAATACAAAACAGGCTAATCCAGTTCTTAGTTTCTTTTGGATATATCAAGTGATTTTTCTTATTATTCTTATTCTAACATGGCTTCCTATTTTTCTCATTTCTTTTTCTAATAGATTTGTTTTCTTTTTATTGATTTTCTTTTGTATTGATAAAATTAACTAAGTTATTTCTTTCTTCTAATACCATAATTCTAAAATTTATTGTTATTAGTTGATTCATTATTATTTTATTTAATGCTTAACTACTAAAACTTATTATTGTTTATAAACTTTTATTTTATTGGATATTTATACCTTCTATTAATTAATGAACTTTAATTAATTTTATTCTTAAGCTTTGAGGCTTTGAGGCTTATGCCTCCCAATGCCTTAAGGCTTATGCCTCACCTTTTTGGGCCATTACACTTCAATAATGCCTTTAGCCTTTCAAAACCTTGAAAGATTAGGGCCATTAGGTGTTACAACCAAGCAAACGTTGAATACAATTATGGCTAGGTTGTTTTGACATCAGTTTGGTTCTAGTCCAAGCGAAGGCCCATGTTGGAATGGGTCTAAGGTTGGCCCTTAATCCTGAGATAAGATTAATTGAATGCTTTAGCTGTTCAGTAGGTTGTAGAACCAATGATAAGAATCCACACGAGTCTTAAAATACATGGGGCTCACAATCATTCAACCTTTTAATATGAGGCCCATGTATTTTATCACTAGTCTAGAGTCTTATCATTGGTTCCAAGCCTATTGAACAGCTAAGGCGTTCGACTAATCCGAATTCCTTAATCCTACCCAATTCAGTTAATTTATACACCTATATTTTAATCCAAAAAATTTAATAAGAAATAAAAATATTTAATGGGAGAGGGTTAATTTTATTAAGAAAGATTTTATTAGAAAAGAGTATTTATTATTTTAATTGAAGAAATTAAGACATGAGAAGAGGGTTTTATGAGGAGACACAAGAGAGTTTTAGCTTTAAAAAAAGGCACAAGAGGGTTTTTAATATTTCACATGTGTGAAGGAGAGAACAGGAGACTCCATGTGAGGCCTCTTGTGAGAGACCCTTGACCTCTACATTCCTCTTTCTATATATACAAATAAGTTTTCTTTAAAATGGTTTGGAATTGAAAATGTGAGATGTTGGTTCAAATACAAGAGTAGGTTTAATCGTTTAAGATAAAAACTATAATATCTTTGATTGGGAGAGATTCTCTAGCTAGGTGTAGCTAGATGTAGTACTCTCATGGCGTTTGCATGATTTTTTATTTCAGGAAATCCCATATGATTGGATTCATTGGGTTTTGCTTTTATCAAATTCATAGGGGTTTTGATTCTTTTAAGAAGCCTTTCAAAAAATGAAGGAGAAACAACAAGCACTAAACAAGATCTTAGATTGCTATAAGCACAAAGGCTGTAGACAAAGCACCTAGCCACACATTGGGAATATCTCCCATAATGTGTGTTAAATTCAAGGGGAAGATGTTCCCAACAGCTAGATTCCCATGCTTTTGTGGTTCGTGGAGAGTTTTTACTTGAAGAGAATCCCATCACAACAAACAAAGAGAACAAACAAAAACTAAAACACTTGATAGCATTTAATTTTGAACACTAATAGTTCGTTTGGTTGCCTCAATTGGGATGAGAAAGGGTAAATATTCACTCTAGATTGAGAAATAGTGAGACACGATGAGAACACAGTTCACAATACTAGGGATGTAGGGTCTCACCAAATAGGTGCGACCATGCGACCCCACTAAGAAGCGGAAATACTATGAAGTCAATGATAGAAAATTGTTGAAGACAACAATTTCTCATCGTCTCAACCAAGTTTCAAGCCCCCAACATCCAAAACTCCATCGTCTCCATCATCATCTTTAGCGAGGTAGGTCATCGGAACATTTTTTTCTTCTCCATTTCTTCTTATTATGGCATTCTTTTTTGTATTTTTCTTGCTCTTGACCTCATTTTCGTTCTCTCCAATCAAATTTTACACCTCCAACAATCATAGCTCCGACCATCACCTTCTTTGTCTCCCACAAGTAACACCATTTTATGCTGCCATTTTTTTCCTCTAATGAATTTGTTGTTACAGATCTAACATGTTTGTGTTTTTTAGATCTATAACCCTTGTGCTAGATCTGCTAAACCACACTGTTGTTTTTTGTTTTTTACACTCTTTAAAGGGGTCTCAAGTATTCCTTTTATCTTGCTCCCCATTTTATAGATTTTCTAAATCCCTATAATAGATCTATCGATCCCATATGTTTTCATTTTCATTTGTTGAATCGGTTTCTTGTTAGATCTACTAAACCTCTATATAACAAGTTTGCTAAACCTTTGTATGACAATTCAATGGATATTGATGTTGTCAATCTTCTAGGTTGAGAGAACACCAAGAGTTTCAGGGGTGTCAAACGATATATCTGACCCCCACCCCAAAGAGCCTATATATCTTATTAGTTATAAGTATTTACAAAGAGGCCCTTGAAGGGCTAAAGATAAAAAAAGAAATAATTACAAAATTTCCTTTGGAGCGCTGAAAGATAGAAAAGAAAATGAATGCTATGGTACAACAAGGACCATAGAACAACATTACATCAAGTATCTCTACACTCCCCCTCAAATTGATGCTGATGTGCCCACAAGAAATAGATGTCTCGATCTCGTCATAGGCTTCGTGAGAATGTCAACAATCTATAAGTCGGAAGCTATATGAGGAAGGGAAATAGAGCTAGTAAGAAAAAGATCCCCAGTGAAGTGTCAGTCCACCTCAATGTGTTTAGTTCTCTCATGAAACACTAGATTAGATGCAATCTTGATAGCACTAGTGTTGTCAGCATAGAGAGGAATAGGCGTAGGGAGGTGAACACCAAGATTAACAAGGAGAGGTTGAAGTCAAACAATCTCACTATATACCGATGACATAGCCATGTATTCAGCTTCTATAGATGACTTAGAAATTGTCTATTGTTTCTTACATTTCCATGACATAAGAGAGTCTCCCAAAAAGACACACCATCCGATAGTAGACTGTCTAGTGTCAAGACAACCTGCCCAATTTGCATCAGCATAAGCTCTCAACTGAAGAGCAAATGAAGAAGAAAAAAACAGTCCTTGAAACAAATTGCCACGAACACAATGGATAATCAGGTGGATAGCAATCATGTGGGGTTGACATGGGGCTGAAATGAACTGGCTAACTACCTGAACTACATGGGAAATGTTCGGATGAGTCATGGTGAGATAAATGAGAGACCCAACCAATTGTCGATATAGAGTAGCATCAGGAAGCAAGGCCCCATTAGATTTAGACATCTTGACATTGAGTTCCAAAGGTGTATCAATCTGTTTGGTGTCTGTAAGACCAGCAAGCTTAATAAGATCACATGCATATTGTATTGACAAACAAAGTAACTACGATTGCTACGATGTACTTCTAGCCCTAAGAAATAAGTAAGAGAACCCAAGTCTTTCATATGGAAGGAACTGTGGAAAAGAGACTTAAGTTATTGGATTCCAACCTCATCATCCCCTATCAATAACATATCATCTACATACAACAACAAGATGGTAATGCCTTGAGGTTTTTGACAGATGAAGAAAGAATAATAAGAGGTACTCTGATTGTAGCCAATAGCCACTACAACATCTCAGAATTTCTCAAACCAAGCATGGGGAGCTTGTTTGAGATCATATAAGGATTTCTTTAACCGACAAACAAGAGAGGGATCACCACTGTGTCTAGGAGGAGGGTTCATGTACAATGTCTCCTTCAAATTGCCATGAAGAAAAGCATTCTTCACATCTAAATGATGTATGGCCCCTGAAATAAGCCTAGATTTGTGTCGGTTCAACAAGCCATTTGACTTCAACTTAACTGTGTAAACCCAACGACTTTCAATAATTGAAGCATCTGAGGGAGGAACTACCAAATTCTAAGTGTCATTCTCCTGTAAAGCATGAATTTCTACATTCATTGCATCTCTCCAAAGAGGACTGGTAATGGCTTGCTTATATGAGCAGGGAATCTCTGTGATAGATAACACAATAGAAAAAGAGCTATGGTTTGAAGGAAATCCATAGCGGTCAAGGGTCGAGAAATACGAGAGGAATGACGAAGATATATGGAAGGAAGAGAATCTAAAGGAACATCACTTACAAGAGCATTAGTGGGAGTAGGATCCAAGCTAGGAGGAAGTGAAGTTGGAAGTATAGGATCTGGGACATGTAATCTTCTACGAGAAAAGACAAGAAAATCATTTACACCAGTAGGAGGAGAAGCATCCTATGAGTCAATATTCTACAAGAAAGAAATATGTGGAGTAGATAACTTTGCAACAACAACAAAAAATGAGATATGCTCAAGGAAAACAACATTTTGAGAAACACGAATATGATGAGTAGAGGGATCATAACAAAGAAATCCTTTGTGATTTGGACTATATCCCACAATGGCACACATAACAGACTGAGAGGAAGGAGGCTAGGTAAGTCTGGTTAACGGCCAAATAGTTTCTAGAAAGGGGACATATTAGATAGAATTGATGAAGGGACATAGTTAATCAAGAAAATAGCAATACTGGCAGCCTTCACCCAAAAGGAAGAAGGTGCATGAGATTCTTGCAGTAGGGTTCTCACAACACTAAGAACATGACCATTCTTGCAATCTGCCACTCCATTCTATTGAGGTGTATCTGGAGAGCTTCGTTGAACCTGTATCCCATGACTTCTCAAGTAGGTTAAGAAGTCTTCATCAGTGTATTC